AAACCATTACAATTGAATAGCACTGTTTATAATTTACAAATTTCTGGGACACATCTTATTTGATATTATTTGTTGAGCCCTGTGGCAGGCAATATTCTAGGATGACCCCAGCAAACCCTCACCCTCGTATAATTCCTTCCCCCTTCGAGTGTGGATGGAACTCACTGAATATGATGAAATATCACTGCTGTGTTTATGTTACATCATATGGCAAAACGAAGATCATCCTGGTTGGGCCTGATCTCATCAGGTGAGCCCTCTTAAAGCAGAGTTCCCTCTGGCTGGTTGCAGAAGAAATCCGAGATGTGCTCCAGCTGGCCTAAGCATCAGTGTTGTGAACTGCCTAGTGGGGCCACATAGCAAGAAACTGTGGGTGGCTGCTAGGAGCCGAGAGTAGTTATTGGTCAACAGCTGGCAGGAAAATGGGGACATCAGTCCTACAGCTTCGAGAAATGAATTCTGTCAACAATCAGTGAGCCTAGAAGAGGATCCTGAGCTCCATATGAGAACCTGAGCCTTGCATAACACCTTGATTTCAGCTGAGACTGTGATGAGAGAATCCAGCCACATCATGCACATACTTCTGACCTGCAGAAACTGAGATAATATGGGTGCCTGGGTGGCTCAGTCAGTTAAGTGTCCTATTTCCCCTTAGGTCATGATCTCATTGATCGTGAGTTCCAGCCCTGCATTGGGCTCTGCACCGAAAAGTGAAGAGCCTGCCTGGGATTCATTCTCTCTCTCTCTCTCTCTCTCTCTCCTCTCTCTGCCCGTCCCCCACTTTATCTCAATCTCTCTCAAAAATAAACTTAAGAAAAAAAAAAGAATCTGAGATAAACGTGTGTTGTTTCAAGCTACTAAGTTCATGGTCAATTGTTGCACAGCTATAGAGATCTAAGAGAAGTCCCTACAACACTGAAGCACGATGGCAGGTGGTAGGAGGACAGTAATGAATGAGTCTATGTCTTAGACCATCACTGTCTCCTGGGGAGCAGGGAGAGGCAAGTTAATAAAGCAGTGATGGCTAGAACTGAGACATGTATAAAATGGCAAGGCGGCCAGATGGGGAATGTAGCAAGAAATCTTCACAGAAAATTAGACTAGGATTTGATGGTTGAATAGGAGCAATAGAGTGGGGCTGGGAATAAGGAGCATGTTCCATTTGAAGGAACAGCATGTGGAAAATAAGAATATGCAAGGGCATGGCATGTTTAGAAAGTTGCAGGTGGTTTTGTGTGGCTGGAGTAAAGAACATGCAGCCAAATAGATTTGGGGTCTACACTGCGAGGGACCTCAGGTAATGTGGTTTTTTTCCCCCTTGTAACCATGTCCTCCTTTACTTCTTGCCCTCATCCACAGTAAGCCCTTTGGGTTCAGGATCCTTCAGGGGTATCTGGCCTCTCTATCCCATCCTCCTTGGTCCTTATAGTCCTCAAGCATGCCAAGCTCAGCAGTACTCTCCAGCAACCCTGCGGGCCATTCACATCTTTAAGGCCAATGGGGAAGGGGGCCATAGGTAAGACGGCCCATTTGTGTGGCTGCAGACATCCTGAGAGCTATGTGTCCTCTGTGTCCTAGGGTTGCTGATCCTTCTCCTGGGTCACCAGTGAGAGAAGTTCCGAGAGTTTAGAGTCTGCTGAGCTAAAAGAGAATCCATGGCCTGGCCAGAGACCCTGGGAGTTTGTTCTTTCAGAGCACTTCCTGCCTAAGTATAAGCATGTGGTTGTAGGTGTACAGGAAGTGCAGAGGCTTCATCCAAACAACACATTTATGACATTAGATTTTCAAACAAGTAGGGGCACCTGGGTGGCTCAATTGGTTAAGCATCTGACTCTTGATTTCAGATCGGGTCATGATCTCACAGTTGGTGAGATCAAGCCCTACATCTGGCTTTTTGCTGACAGCAAGGAGCCTGCTTGGGATTCTCTCTCTACCTCTCTGTCAAAATAAATAAAAAACATTAATAAAAAAAAAAAGAATTTCAAACAAGTAAATAAAAACCCGTATACTTTCAGGGTGTTAAAGTGTTGGCTGACGCACCATGAAAACAGTAGATGTTACATTCCAAAGGAGTTACTGCATCACATAAACACTGCTGGAGACTGACAAGACAGGATATCTGGAGGATTTTTGTTTTTCTTTTTTAAGTAAAGGGTTCTTTCACTTCTCACTAAAGTAAAAGGTTGCGGTCACCTAATGTCAAGAGAAAGGGACGTGCGGGGGACTCGTCAGAAAGCCTGATGTGTGTCCCAAGGTAGTAGGGAGAAAGAACGCAGCGGTCTAACGCCCTGCTGGCAAGCCACGTGAGAGACGAACTAGCAAGCCGCTCCAATTGCAGAGTGTAGACCTGCCATCGCTCTGAGCTTCCCCAGAAGAATAGATCAGATGTGGGCCCAATGTGAGAGAGGGCAGGCTGGGGGGGCCTCAGGAGAGAAGCAGGGATAGAATCCTAGGCTCCTTGGGGCTGAGGAAGCAAGCAGCTATTGAGATGGAGAGTGCATTTGCCGAAATCAAGGGAACTGCAGGTGAAACATCTCCCAAAACCCCGCAAAGGCCCCTGTGAAATGTCTACTGTAAATGTCTACCAGGCCTGGGAGGCTGGAAGCCAGCTCACAGCTTCACCACTCAGTGACAACACTCCTGCCCCTGACCACGTTTTCTGCCTTTCCCCATCCCAGTTCTACAAGAACCAGAGCTTCCAGGAGCAAGGAAAGAAGGCCTTCCCCTTCCACAGCTTCCCACCAGCACATGGCTTCACACTACCCTGCAGGTAAGACAACTTTAAAGCAAGTTCTAACTTTTGATTTTTGACATAGCAACAGACACATTAATCACAGTTTAAAGTGGACACGGTGGGGCACCTGGGTAGCTCAGCTGGTTGAGCAGCTGAGTGTCCAACTTCAGCTCAGGTCGTGAACTCATGAGTTCGTGAGTTCGAGAGTTCGAGCCCTACACTGGGCTCACGGCTGTCAGCCTGTCAGCAGGGAGCCCTCTTCGGATCTTCTGTCCCTTTCTCTCTGCTCCTCCCCAACTTGCGCTCTCCCAAAAATAAGTAAATATTTAAAACAATAAAAATAAAAATAAAGTGACCACAGGACTTTCTGCTGGCTGAGAATACTTGGAAGAATCCTGACACTTACTACAGTTTTTATTTTTTATCCTGAACAGAGTAAGAAATCCCACCACTGAATACATTTTATAAGGATAGCGGGAGACATAAATAAAGATGCTCTCTGATTGTATTCCACATTCAGAGTATTGATTATATGTGCCTAATGTTGTTTTTTTACCTATAGATATTCTGTCAATCTACTTATTAATTCACATTTGAGACAGGAATGTGGTCATGTGACTAAGAATCCTGGAGGGCTTTAGTAAACCCTCTGTTCCACTAGCTGAAAAATAGAAAGGTAGATATCTAGAAACACAGCATCTAATAGGTAGTTTGATTATCCCCCTGGTGATAAGTATTAGACAATGTTCAGTAATTATTATAGTTGTTTTCATACTTTTCCTTTCTGAAATTATGTTTGCAGGCATCAATTTGTTTTTACATAAAGACTAATTTTGACTCAAGAAGCTCATCATAATATTCTCCCACTTCCAAAGTAAATACCAATATAAACTTTTTTTTTCCTAAGCTAATGCTTTAAAAAGGAGTGGGGGGCACCTGGATGGCTCAGTCAGTTGGGCATCT